TAATACTTGATAATCTTGTTGATTTACATTCTTCTATGTGTTATTCCTTGAACTCTATATATTGTTTTGGTGTGTGGGTGGTTGTGTTGTTATTAAGAACACCAAAGTTGAGGTTGTGTTGATTCATGATAAAATAATTGTGTATTTGTGTGGAATCATGATAATATGACTGTGTGTTCATGTTGATTCATGATAATATGTTTTGTAGTTGATTATTAGTGATTATTTTTGTTGAATTCAAGAGCTTATTTAAATGAATGGTTTGACATGAGTTGATATAGTTAGAAATGAGATGGATTATGTTGAAAGAAGTGTGTTTATGACAGTTTATGAGTTTGGTTGTTTTGAGATGGTTAAAGGTTGAAGAAAATGTGAAAAATTATGGTTTTATATGAAAATCAGGGTTTAGAGTCGATACATTCGAGTTATGAGTCGACTCATACTGAACGTTTTTCTAAAAACCAAGTTTTTGCCTGTTTGGATTCGAAACCTAAGGCTATGGGACGATACATTCTATTTTGAAAAAAAATGAAGAATTAAAATTGTCATAATTTGAGTTTCCTAACTCGAAATGAAACGCGGTTGGATGCGTTGAAAAACTCTTTTAAACCTCTATTAGATGGTGAAATAAAAGCATGATTTTATTCAAATTATTGATATGATAGTGATAATAAACTATCATGTATTATATGATGAAGTTGAAGTTGGTTAAATACCTTATTCTTTGTTTCTGCCATAGAACGCGAATGTTGGCTCCAATTGATGCGAGAACGGATGTGTTAGGAAGCTAAACAATCGTTTTGATTATAGACTTGAGTTTATTATAAATTATGTGGAATGCTTATTTCGCAAATACTCACTAAACATATAACATTCCAATTTGCACTAGAATATTATAATATGACAAATTAAGTTATATTAGAAGAATAAGTTCACGTTCAATGTTAGACAAGAGTTCTTCAACTCCTTATCTGTATTTTATTCTTTGATAGTAAGAACTTGGTTTAATGATTCTAGTTCTTCAATCGCCTCTGCCTTCACCTCTAATTCTTTTTGCAAAATATTATTTACCTTGCAAACAAAATTAGAGATGGAAAGAAGAGTGGTTGAAGATCTACTATCATTAAACCAAGTTCTAATTGTAAAAGAATAACATGCAGTTAACAGTGTGAAAAATTCTTGTCAAGAAATGAACGTGTACTTATTTTCCTAATACAATTTTATCAATCATATCATAATTTTTAATAAAGTTTAGAAAGTTATATATTCAATAAGGGATTGGAAAAACACTCAATCCAGATAATATATAATACATTCATTTTTAAACAAATATTAACAACAACATTCATAAAAAATAAACCATAAACAACAAACATATTAAGTCATAAAATGTTTCAGAAACTTACCATACATGTCCCATAATGGCATGTCAACAATGGATGAAGATAAATTTAGACATGCAAACTTGTGTATATTTTGAATGTATATCATTCTAGATCTTTGACACAAGTTTACAAGACTAAATTTAGCTTCATCCTCTTTATTGAAAGAAGTATCCATACCTACAAGTCAATACAAGAAAGAAGTTCAAACATCATGAAACAAGATATTGAAACAGATTTTGAAAACAAAAACTATCAAGTAAACGAACCTGTAAATATTCATTAGATAAGATTTGTTGTTATAGTTTCATTTTGGGGTTTCCATATGAGAGAGACGAGTGATAGAGTTGTTAGGGTTTCGTTTTGAGATAGACGAGTGAAAGAGTTGTAAGGTTTTTATTTTGAGAGAGACGATTATTATATACATGAAGCGATAGATGGTTTCGCTTAAATATAAATAAAGTATCACCTGTCATCATAGTTGGTAATAAAAACAGTGGTTATATACAAGGTCAATAATATTTTTATCACGATAAATGATTAATTTTTGGTGTTGGGATTCGAACCATTTCACTTAGTGTACCTTTCACTACGGTTGCTTCATTGACCGTTGTGACATGTCCTCTAATAAATACCAAAAAAATGCGTTCAAAAATAAATTATTACCATGGTTAACAATATGCCCGTTGTAAAATTGGTGTTACGAAAGGTCTATTTTGTAGGAGTGAATGATTGTTTTGAATTGGTGAACTCAAGTGTACATGTTTCCATACAATTCAAAAATCTTCAAGATGCTTAAGTGTTTTTCCTCTTGAACGACTTAAGTTAGGAATTCATTAGATACCATATAGAGCCGAGTGAACCTATAAGATAGGGGAACTCACTAAGATTATTATCTCAACCCAGTATTATTGTTGTTTTTCAGGTTTTGTTTACATGTTATATGCAATAAAAATTGTTTGTTGATGTTTTGAAGGATTCTGGTTATTATGATATTCTGCTGCGGATTATGTGCAATCGAAGATACTATACATATCTCTTAGTTTTATTTAGGCAATATTGTTTATCATGTGCCATAGATGTATTTTTACTTTGGACATGTGTATATAATGATGTTGTTAGCCACGTGTGTTGTATCAATACCAAATTAATATTTCGTATAATGTATTTTCTAGATGTATATTATACGAGATATTACACAATCCTTCAACAAACGACATTATTCTTTGCGAACAATGTCATAAATGAAAAAAAAACATTATTTGAACAATCTTTCAAGGATGATGTAATCTTTTTGTTTGTTTTTCAAGAACTATATTATAGATCTTCAAACAAGAATAAAGAAAAAAACTAAGAAATTGTGGAATCCTTCTTAAATACTTCACTATTATTGATGCAATCATTTTATAATTGAATAATATTATTGATGCAATAATTTTTAACATAGTTGATGCAGTCCTTCTTGAATTCGTTAATATTATAGATGTAATCTTTCTTTGATTTGTTAATATTATAGCTACAATCCTTCTAGGATGCGTTATAATCATTTTTGTCATTCTTCTGGAATAACAATTCTTTCATGATTATATTACAAAGTTTTTACATCGAAACACAAACAAAAATTGTGAAATCTTTCAGCGATATTTTAAAATTATTCATGCAATCCTTTTGAGATGCATAAAAATTTTCATATTTTTTTGTTCTTTTTCTAATCAATAAATCAATAAAAAATAGGTAGAATTACTAATATATATTATAAAAAAAAACAAAAGAAATAATGTTATGAATTATTCTAACCGTATAACCTTTGAGCCAATTTTAGTCGTAGAATTTTATAAAATATCATGCTGATAACAAGTCTTAAAATAGTAAGAAAGAACAAAAAACTACAGAGCAAGGAATAAAGATTTGTATTGTACTCTTTTCAAAAATCTCAGTTACATTACAATATAAATTTTATTTATAGAACATACATGTAATTTGCATGAATATGAATAAGACTGAATACCAATATCAATTACATTAAATTAAAGTATATTAAAGAACAACAAACATCTATATTAAATATTATATATTAACAACAGTTTTGAAGTTTATTGACCTGTCTTATTTTATTGCACGCTTTCTAACTATCATAAAAGCATTATACAATACTAAAATTACCATAAAAGACATATTCTTTAATTAATAAAAATATATACATTTATTTTACCAAGACTAGCGTACAGACACTCGCGTGTCTGTCCGTTTTTTTAATGCACGCATATAAAAATTTAAAAGATATTTTTTATTTAATTTTAATTTTAAATAGAAATTAAGTAAGAAGTTAGTAGGAAATTAGGTAGGAAGTTATGTAGAAAATTAATGAAAATTATTGAATAAGTTATATATTAAAGTAAGGGTAAAATTAGAAAAGAAATAGCCTACACCAAAACATCATATTTTCCCTTTATATATGTTATAGATAAATGACCATAAAAGACATATTCTTTAATTAATAAAAATATATACACTTATTTTATTAAGACTAGCGTACAGACACTCGCGTGTCTGTCCGTTTTTTTAATGCACGCATATAAAAACTTAAAAGATATTTTTTATTTAATTTTAATTTTAAATAGAAATTAAGTAAGAAGTTAGTAGGAAATTAGATAGGAAGTTATGTAGGAAATTAATGAAAATTATTGAATAAATTATATATATTAAAGTAAGGGTAAAATTAGAAGAGAAATAGCCTACACCAAAACATTATGTTTTCCCTTTATATATGTTATAGATAAATGACCATAAAAGACATATTCTTTAATTAATAAAAATATATACACTTATTTTATTAAGACTAGCGTACAGACACTCGCGTGTCTGTCCGTTTTTTTAATGCACGCATATAAAAACTTAAAAGATATTTTTTATTTAATTTTAATTTTAAATAGAAATTAAGTAAGAAGTTAGTAGGAAATTAGGTAGGAAGTTATGTAAGAAATTAATGAAAATTATTGAATAAGTTATATATTAAAGTAAGGGTAAAATTAGAAGAGAAATAGCCTACACCAAAACATCATGTTTTCCCTTTATATATGTTATAGATAAATGACCATAAAAGACATATTCTTTAATTAATAAAAATATATACATTTATTTTACTAAGACTAGCGTACAGACAGACACTCGCGTGTTTGTCCGTTTTTCTAATACACACTCGCGTGTCTGTCCGTTTTTTTAATGCACGCATATAAAAACTTAAAAGATATTTTTTATTTAATTTTAATTTTAAATAGAAATTAAGTAGGATGTTAATAGTAGGAAATTAGGTAGGAAGTTAGGTAAGAAATTAATGGAAATTATTGAATAAATTATATATTAAAGTAAGGGTAAAATTAAAATAGAAATAGCCTACACCAAAAACCCACGTTTTCATATATATATATATATCTTATAGATAAATGTTATTACCCTATAAAAGAAACGATGCAACCTTACAAACGAATGGATTGGAACCTGGTTAGTTCTGTACTACAAACATTTTTCCTTCTCCTTAGAAATTTATAAGAACTAACATTACCCATAACAACAGAAACACAGTCCCAAATTTTAAAAATACAATTTAAACACCTAACACTATTCTAAAACTTGGGAGTTCTTTTTCTTTTTGCTGAAAACATTGACTCCCCAAATAGTGATACGTAGTGTGAGGAACAAGGCCAAGAACAACAACATTCCAGCCGAAATAATATACAATAGTTTTATTAACTTTTTTTCTTCACCCCAAACAACATCTGGGGTAAGCATTCTTAGTGCAGTTATGTAAGTCACAACAAGACTTGTGAGAGTGAGACACATCCCAACTGATAAAATCCCAATCGGAAACCTATGATTCAAACGAATTCCACTCACAAGCAAAAATAAAACACATAGTGAAGAAATAAAACATATAGTGTTCGAATAAATGTACAAAATATAATCACTTGGATGTAAAACGCCCAAGACAGTTTCACCCGGACATTGTTGTACGTTTTGGATGAAGATACATCGCGTAACTCCGTCATCTTTAACCGGCCTAATGCCGCCAGGTGGATTAAGACCTGTTTGAAATGTCATTGTTGTGATAATTGTTGCTATTAAGCCCAAATTTCCTCTCATTTGTTCCAACCATTTATCCTCCATGTCTTCGTGAACCATCCAACTCTCTATTTGTTCTAATACTTTTCTCCAACCTTTCTTTGCTTCCTCATTCCTTGATGGGTCAACAGAACCGCCATTAATATCCACTTCATTCTTCATTGTCTCTTCTTCAAAACAACCATTAAAAACAAGTACAATGTATTTAAGAATCAAACATACACTGCAACAAAATCTGTATAATATTTCAAATTATAGACACTTAAAAATGTGAATATCTTAAAGACATACCTTAATTAAATTAGTATACGATAGTTCGAAATACTAACTGTATTATGAGAAGGAGTAAGCTTTTGAAGCAATGTTTGGTCTAAATAGTATTGCAATTATGAACTATGTTTGATATCAAAGAATCTAATACAACCATATTACTAACCAACGAATTATCCTCAATTCCTTTCTCATTGCCAGAACAGAACCTGTGAAGCATTTGAAAAAGGACTAGAGGAGAGAGATACTTTTTTTATGTGTAAATATGAAGTTAAAGAAAAAGGAGAAGGACCCTACAAAAATATAATAATAAATCACTTAACAACAATAATTTATAATTGTATGGTCGGTTTCTTGAACCAAATCCTTTTTCTTTCCTACTTTTACAGTAGCAATGGACACGCTTGAGTCTGAAGTTGTTGTTTTCATTGCTTTCACGCTAAACCAAGTATAGAACAAGAGTATGAAAATATTAATTAAGTAATACAATTTAATATTCACTGAAAATATTAAAATTATAGCATATTATTTAATGAATGAATAATCAACAATAATAAAAACGGTGTATCTTGTAAGATTTGAGAGATTGTCGCCGGAGAAAATATGTACGAGAGAATTACTACCCTCATTGTCGTTAGGTTTTCAATGTATTAATCGTCTAATAGAGCAACGCTTAAATAACTAAACGGCTGAGGGAAGAGACCTCTCATTAGACTTAACTAAATTATTTAGTCAATCACGGTCCATTCAACCACAAAACTCAATTGAATAATTCATCAATAATTAGTGTTTTATAAGAATTAACTATGATGTAATTTATTAATAATTAATTATGTCAATCGTTATTTAATTAATTAAATAATTAATCTAACAATCTCTCACTTGGATGTCGATAATTAATTATTAAAATAATATTTTAATTTAAAAATATAAATAATGATCAAAAAACTTATCATTCAAAAGAGAATTGAACTTTAACATTGCAGAAATTATATCTGATACGGAAAACAAATCATATATATTTAATACTCACAACTTATATAAAGAATGATGAATTTAAAGTAACATATTTAAAATAAGAGAAGTATGTTATTAAGAATGGCCCAAGCATATGAATATGCTAATGATAAACTCCTACTAACTCAAAATAACACAAGATTTACTCGGATTTGGATCCTCTCCTTTTTTATATATCATGTCATCTATCATGTTTCTAATCTAACTGTTCAGAATTTATAATGAATAATTAAATAACAAAGACAAAAATAACAAAGACAAATTACTTATTCATTTCTCTCTCTTTTTAAATGACTTTAAATACTACTTACTCATGTGTATAAGTATGTGGTTAGTGATTTTAGTAATGAGTTTTCAAATTAAAGGTTAAAGAATATCTAGATAGATCTAAGAATGGTAATTATATATATGCATACCCTATTACTTTAGTAATTACATTTAATCATAATTAAATAACTTCATAACACAATATCATATTTGATAGGAGTATTGATATTTACATGTACTTTTATTTTATGACTTGACAAATGTAAATTATTGAAGATATAATAACAAAATGTTATTGCATGCTTAATAACTACTATGTCTTTTCAATATCGACCTAAATATCAAACTATGATATTTCTTGAGATGAAGTGAATTATATATATATATATATATATATATATATATATATATATATATATATATATATATATATATATATATATATATATATATATATATATATATATATATATATATATATATAGTATTAAAAAAATACTACTTCTTATAGTTATTATATATTTTGAAGCCTTTTTAAAATATGTCATATTTATAATTCACACACGAATATATGACAATATAAGAATAATAGTCTAAAACTTTAGATTATATTATTATATACACATGCGCTCCCACTTATTCAATAGAATAAAGATTTATCAGAGTCTACTAGTATTAAATACTTTGATATATAATGAGATATTAATTTTATTTTTAGAACAAAACTAAGCAAAAAAGTGGTTCTATAATATATTACAATTAGAGTTTTACAAACTCAACCACATATTTTACACGTAAATAGAATATTGTATTATTTAGATAATTTCACATGAAATAGTATGATGGTCATATAAAAGATTTATTTTGATTTGAGTGAGATCAAATTCTTATAATTTTAAATAGAACATAAGATTATATACAACATCCTAATAACTTACTCAAAACTCATATGCTACAAATATAACTACACATATTTGAGAAATATTGTATGTTATATGTTGCGAAAAAATGAGACTTTAATTTATTTAATATTGATGATATAACAAAAATAGTAGTAAACTTTCATCAACATAAGACTATAATATCTTCAACATAACTCACTATATATAATATTATATGAAATAAATAGTATTTATTTCTTATTTCTAATATGATTGACATGTTAAACTCTCTCAGAGAATAATAGTTTAATTAAGAATAAGCATTTTAAAAAACATTTTAAATAAATATTCTATTATTTTCTATATCATATTATGGTTATTTTAAGTAATGTCACACTGATAGGGTTTGTCCATAACTTTCATAATACTTAAAGAATTGAAATCTATTTTAATGAACGATTGAATTTCATAAAGTATTATATGTCTTAAAAATTATTTCTTTATTATCAACTAATAGTTTTAACAATATTAAATAAGAAATATAACAATGTATAAATATTATATTATCAAAAAAATTTAATAGCAATAGGGTACATAATCATAAAATATAAGTATATTGAACAAAATAAATTATATTAATAATAGCATACCGATAGGATATAACTATTATCAATATAATATTTACTATATTAAAAATAAATTTAATTATGTTATTACACAATATTTGTATAATTATACTCACGATATGTAAGTTACAATCATACGAATTAAAAATACTTATATTTTATTCAAAATCAAAAAATTTATATAATTATATTTAAGATAAGTAAGATTATAATTACACAAATTAATAGTGATTACTTAATTATTCAAAATAAAACTATCAAATAATAATATTTCGAATATTTCCAAAAAGCTATAATTTCTTTTTAGTTAAACCTATGATAATAAATCAATTAATAGCAAATAATTACAAACTTATAGCACATATCCACCATTAGAGCGGAATTATCTCCATGCTAACGGATGTTAATTCAAACTATAGAAAAGTGAACAATTTTTCTATGGGTTGAATTAACATAATTCCATAAAAAAATTTAATTCAATACTAAAAATTTGTGGTTTTGTGAAATCTTTTTTATGTTGAGATAATAATTGGTCTTCAACTCTATTATCTTTCATTAACTATTAATTAAATAATATCAAACAGTAAATACCTCAACAAAATTTATAAAATATCGCTCAAATGACACCTTTAAGTGATTCATGCCATTAACAACAAAAAGAGTTATGCTAACAACCATACAAAAAGTGCTCTATGGACAAGGCAAAGGAAAATGGGTCTAAAGAAATAATCCAAAACCGATCTTAATAGCCTCTAAAAAATAAGAGAAAAATAGTAGGGGTCATATATGACCAGTAGTGGTTATGACTCTAGTAGGGGTTATTTAGGAAACACCCTAAATTTAGAGAACACTCGATACTTAGATAACATCCGAAACTTAGATAACACCCAGTACTTACGTAAGTCTTTGGTTCTGCCAGCTTCAACACCCATTATTTAGCAAAACACCCAATACTTAAGTAACACCCAATATTTAGGTAAACACCCTAAACAGTGAACACCCATTATTTATCAAAACACCCAATAATTAGGGAACATCCAATATTTAGGTAAACACCCTAAACTTAGTGAACACCCAATACTTAGATAAACACCTTAAATTTAGTGAACACCCAATACCTAGGTAAACACCCTAAACTTAGCGAACACCCAACACTTAAGGAACACCCAATACTTAAGGAACACCCTAAACTTAGTGAACACCCGGTACTTAGGAAACACCCTAAACTTAGTGAACACCCGATACTTAGATAACACCCGAAACTTAGATAACACCCAGTACTTACGTATGTTTTTGGTTCTGCCAGCTTCAACACCCATTATTTAGCAAAACACCCAATACTTAGGGAACACCCCATATTTAGGTAAACACCCTAAACTCAGTGAACACCCATTATTTAGCAAAACACTCAATACTTAGTGAACACCCAATACTTAGGTAAACACCCTAAACTCAGTAAAAAACCCATTATTTAGCAAAATACCCAATACTTAGGGAACACCCAATATTTAGGTAAACACCCTAAACTTAGTGAACACCCAATACTTAGATAAACACCCTAAACTTAGTGAACACCCAATACCTAGGTAAACACCCTAAACTTAGTGAACACCCAACACTTAAGGAACACCCAATACTTAAGGAACACCTAACACTTTAGGAACACCCAATACTTAAGGAACACCCTAAACTTAGTGAACACCCAGTAGTTAGGAAGTACCCTAAATTTAGTGAACACCCAATACTTAAGGAACACCCTAAACTGAGTGAACACCCAGTACTTAGGAAACACCCTAAACTTAGTGAACACCCAGTACTTATAAATAATGAGCGTTGTCTAAGTATTGGGTGTTCACTAAGTTTAGGGTGTTTCCTAAGTACTGGGTGGTCACCGTGTTTAGGGTGTTCCTTAAGTATTGGGTGTTCACTAAGTTTAGGGTGTTTCCTAAGTACCGGGTGTTCACTAAGTTTAGGGTGTTCTTTAAGTATTGGGTGTTATATAAGTTTAGGGTGTTTCCTAAGTATTGGGTGTTCACTAAGTGTTGGGTGTTCCTTAAGTATTGGGTGTTCCTAAAGTGTTGGGTGTTCCTTAAGTATTGGG